TCTTACACCTGAGAGTCTGTACCTCACTGCTCTTACACGTGAGCATCTGTACCTTACTGCTCTTACACCTGAGAGTCTGTACCTCACTGCTCTTATACCTGAGCCTCTGTATCTCAGTGCTCTTACACCTGAGTGTCTGTACCTCATTGCTCTTACACCTGAGCGTCTGTACCTCATTGCTCTTACACCTGAGCGTCTGTACCTCACTGCTCTTATACCTGAGCCTCTGTATCTCAGTGCTCTTACACCTGAGCGTCTGTACCTCACTGCTCTTATACCTGAGCCTCTGTATCTCAATGCTCTTACACCTGAGTGTCTGTACCTCATTGCTCTTACACCTGAGTGTCTGTATCTCAGTGCTCTTACACCTGAGAGTCTGTACCTCATTGCTCTTACACGTGAGCGTCTGTACCTCACTGCTCTTACACCTGAGTGTCTGTATCTCAGTGTTCTTACACGTGAGTGTCTGTACCTCAGTGCTCTTACACCTGAGTGTCTGTATCTCAGTGCTCTTACACGTGAGCGTCTGTACCTCACTGCTCTTACACCTGAGCGTCTGTACCTCACTGCTCTTACACCTGAGTGTCTGTATCTCAGTGTTCTTACACGTGAGTGTCTGTACCTCACTGCTCTTACACCTGAGTGTCTGTATCTCACTAAATAAACCTAAGAGCATGTCACTATAACTTGTTTCTCTGTCATGACTATTGTTAAATTATTCACTTTTGCAGTGATGATAAACTGAACAGTTCCCAGGTGATTCTGGGGCGTTTCCAGCTGTTGAACCCCATAATTTTCGAGCAGGTGTTCTCACTGAGGAAGGTCGATGTTCACGAGCACTTCAGAGACATAATTGACATTGCCATGGGTGACCTGGACGGGAGAGCATCCTTCACAGCCTACATAAGTCCCATCCACCTGGTCGAACCCACCAAGACTGCCCTAGAATCTGCTGTTGCTGTCTGTTGGGCTGGGGCCGCATTGACAGAAACTGTGAGAGACCCCAGGAGCTGCTGGGTAGTTGTTTCTCCAGGGGCTGCTGGGTAGTTTCACCAGGGGGAGCTGAGTAGGCGATTCTGCAAAGGCTGCTGGGTAGGCATTTCTCCAGGGACAGCTGGGTAGCCGGTTCTCCAAGGTCTGATGGGTTTGGCGTCTCACCAGGGGATGCTGGGTAGTCATTTCCTCAGGGGCTGCTGAGTATTACTTTCTCCATGGACTGCTGGGTAGTCATTTCTTTTCTTGCAACAAGCAATTATTTAGAATATTTTTTATAGATTGCTTTTCATAGTGCTATACAGGAAAAAAATCAAATGACAGAGATTTTCAACTTATTATTTAGTATTTACAGACAAGGTGTTTCAGAGGCCTAACATTCTGCTCACCCAGGAAAACCCCAGACTGCTACTAAACACTAAACTCTTAATATGCTTACAGAGGCCACACAAGAGATGAGCTGCCTTCTAACTGAATACAAGGCAACCTGCAGTTAAATCTCTCTCTGCACCCCGGATGCCACAAAATAAGTGGGAGCCTATCTTCCTATCCATAAAAATGCACCCTAATCAGAAAGACATTTCTAACTGGGGTATCTTTTACCCAGGAAACCCATGTTCTCTAAAAACACAGAAAAACGCTCTCTCTCTAATAATGTTCAAGTACTGAGCTCCAGTCAGGTTTGATTTGGATGATCATGCAGTAAGGGCTCTCGGCTGGCACAACCTGAAATCCCAACTCCTCTGGAGTCCTCTCTCTTCTCCCTGCTCTCCTTGTTTCCTCCTTCTTCCTCTCATTTCCTCCTGCCTCTCCTCCTGCTCTCTCTCTTGTGCTCTTGAGGTGAACTTCTACAGTGTCTTTCTGCCCTGCTCCTTTGCAATCATTAACCCAGAAGCTCCCTAGGTGTACTAAGATAAACTTTACTACTGTTTCTGCTCAGGGGGACCCCCCCAGGCCTGAGCAAACATCCTCTCTGCTTTGAGGTTAGAAGTGGTGACTCTTCCCAGTGTCACAGAGACACTACTCAGTCACCCAAAGCTGTAACAATACTGTCACTTTTATGCACATTCACTTTGTGTGTTCATTGTCATGAATAATCACTCAGGGTGATGGCACGGTTAGTCTTGGAAGTCGATGTCCCACAGTTGAAAAACAGACACCCTGAGTCAGACGGATCCGGGTTACTTTTCCTACTGGTTCTCACTGAACGTTTTGGACTGCAGAGACCATGACTTTCTGGACAGGAGGCTGGAGCTCAGCAGCACCCAGCAGCTCCAATTGATTTGCCACCATAATATTTGTAGTTCCCAACTAAAGCCTACAAGCCGGAACTACAAATACCAGGAAGCTGTGTGCAGCAACTGAGGGCCAAATGATAGTTTCACGGGGTTGAGTGCTCACAGCTGTTTCCCATTGGCCACCTGGATCTTGTGTATACAAGGGCTCTAGGGCTGCTTCTTTTGGACACTAGCAGCAGAGTGGAGAAAGTGAGCTGACACAGAAAGTACATTTTTTGTGCTTAAAGAATTCTGTAGGTGTGGTTTTCTAGTCTAGATGTAAGAGGAAAAAGTTCTTTAGGAAGTTACTTAGTTTGTCATCTAGTGTGTTAAGAACTCACATGTAATGACCAAATGGTTTATAGTTTAATGACCTCTTTAACAAACTTCTGCATTTCTTGAACGCTCTCCCACTATGAGGAGTTCTGGGTGTTTTGAGCTTCAGCTATTTCTTTATCATGCTGCTATAAAACGTATTTGCAGTTTTATAGTATCTTTCAGCCTGAAGGATTCCAGTGCCCCCCAGGAATCCACATCCCCTCACACTGAACACACTGAAGTGCAGCCTTATCCAGGCCACACAGATCAGGAGCAGGAGAGAGAAACTCCTGCACCAGGGGGATTATGTGTGAATTTAAGGGAGGACAGACTGTGCATCCCAGAAGGAGGTTATTCATAACATGGGGGTGCACACCCCTACTCTTACTGATAGTGTCCCAGGATCTATTCTGACTGGCAGTCAGGACACCCCTACTCTTACTGACAGTGTCCAGGGGTCTGTACTGTCCGGCTGTCATGACACCCCTATTCTTACCGACAGTGTCCTGCAATGTGTACTGACCAGCAGAGAGGACACCCCTACTCTTACTGAGAGTATCAGGAGTCAGGACGCCTGCATTCTGATTTACAACATTGGTCCCTGGACTCCCTGGACATATTTTGGGGAAAAGGAACTTCTGCTGCTTTAGGGATATTGTGACATTATTTACCATAAATCCAAGATGATATATATATATAAATGGAAATACATATTATATTAATATAACATTGTAATATTGATTAATAATTATAATTGCTTATATATATATAGCTTTTGCAGAGGGAAGTTGATACATTAAATCTGCCTCATGAACTGAATTTTTCTCATGTTCTGAAACTAATGAAATAATCTCGTTTCTGCTTGGGAGGACAGTGCCCCCTGCAGGCTCCACAATCCAAAATTCTTTATACCGATGTATCTATGTAAATCTTCTCAGAAACAAATACACCACCATCATTGTGACTAACCATTCTCATTGAACTGAAACAGTATATATTAGCAACACCCTGCAATACAAGCGTTTACAAGAGAACATTGAGATGCCTCATTTCTGAAATGAGTTATCTTTTCAGAGTATCTTCACAGCACTTGACAACACATTTCAGGGGGAGATGAATTCACTGCTGTACAGAGTTGAAATTCCAATAAGGTCAGTCCCCAGACCAAGAGCTTGAATGCTTGCATTTTATTGAGTTGCCAAAAGACAGACAATTATATCTGATCTCTCACAGCAAGCAGAGCAAAGCCAAGAGCACAGCCTCAACAGAGAGAGAGGAGATCCCAGAATATTCCTTAGTAATAAAAATACACCACAGGACAGGAGACACAGTGAGAGAGAGAGGATATCCCAGATAATCCCTCAGTAATAAACACACACCACAGGACAGGAGAGACAGTGAGAGAAAGGAGATCACAGAGAATCCCTCAGTAATAAACACACAAAAGGGAGAGAGAAGTAACAGTGGGAACAGTACAAAAGGTGACATTGACCAGTGATAAATCAAATATGAAATTGAGCTAAGCCTGCAGTTTGCCAGCAAGTCAGCCAGGGGCGCTGTCCTCAGCTGGAGCCTCAGATCCCAGTGTGTTTCTTTATCCAGTCCCTGTAGGTGGAGACCCGGGTGTAGATTCCAGGTGACAGTGGGACGGCACATTGCAGCCCGAAGCTGACGATCCCGGCCTGGAGCCAGGGGCTCCTCTTATTTTTCCGACAGACCAGGGGGCCTCCAGAGTCGCCCTGCAGAGAGAGAGAAAGATCAGGGAGAGTCAACGGTGAGAGGCTGAGGAGAGCGAGAGAGTGATCGATCAGTCACCTCCTTCATTGCTGAAGATCCAGGGTCAGGCTCGTCTACTGTACACCCACACAATCGGGACAATCCAGGAATAGACTCATCTACACCCACACTATCGGGAGAATCCACTAACAGACTCATCTACACCCACACTATCAGGACAATCCAAGAACAGGCTCTTCTACACCCACACTATCAGGAGAATCCAGGGACAGACTCTTCTACAGTACATCCACACTATTGGGACAATCCAGAGTCAGACCCATCTACAGTACATCCACACTATCGGGACAATCCAGGAACAGAC